GCCTGATCCAACCTTTCCCAAGGAGTTCGTCTAACTGCTTGCGAAGCTCCTCTAACTCTCTAGGGGACATCCTGTAGACTGCACCCTTAGGAGTTATACTGCCAGGCTCTATTTCTATCCTATGCTGGATGGGTCGCGACACTACTCCTGTCGGCGACTCAGTCAAGTCTTTGAATTTTTCCAGCAGCTTGGCAATTGTTGGATCTGTGGAACTATCCTTTTCCTGGGCCTCAGTGACAGGCCTAACATAAACTACAAAGACCTGGTCTTCTAACTGCTCCTTCTTTACTAATCGCGCGAACGCGGGAGCACTGAGACAGCAATGTGCCAAGGTGTTATCTACACCAGACACATGGAACAAGCGGGCAGTCTTAACCTCGCCTGACGGCCTAGGGAGCCTACACTCATGCTCTCTCAAATGAAGTGTAGCCCATGCTGCCTCTCCCCAATCCATTCCTAACACTATATCGAAAGGAAGGTCATCCTGCACGAGGAGAGTCAGGCAATGGAGAACTTTCTCCACCTTCCCATCCTTCTCTAGGCGAAAGTAAGCCTGGACTCCCTCTACGTAGTCCTCAACTCGCATTGTGCGGTTGTCTGCGAGGACACTGACTATGGGGTCTACTAACTTTTGGACTTTTAGTCCTAGCCTTAGCTTCTTCAGCGCCCTACGGCTAATGTAACTACGGGTAGCCCCTGAGTCTATAAGGGCCCCTACTCTACTCCTGAACACCTCTACGTCTACCAAAATCAGTTGTCCCTTACTCTCTCTTTTCATTTTGGCCCAGGCTGGCATTCGCTCCTTTAACTCTTCTGCCACACCTGTGAGGGACGTGCCTAAAGAGACGCTAACACAAGCAGTCTCTGGACAACTACCTAGGCACAGGCCTGCAACCTCTGCCATAGGCTCATGTGGGTTGGGAGTGTCCTGTTCGCGCGCGTTCACTTCTCCACATGGCCTAGAAGTTGGGGCAGTTGCGACCCCTACTGGCGGCTGCCTTTTGCCTGCTGAGCAGCCCAACGGGCCTGTCTATACTTTGGACAAAATTTAATTACGTGCGCCGGGTCACCACAAAATACGCACTGACCCAGGCTCACGCGTTCCTGCCATAGGCACTGGTCCAAGCCCAGATCTTCCCAGGGCCTGCCCTGCGGCAAGCCTGGGTGCCATCCTCCTTGAGGTGCCCTTCCACCTCCTCGTTGTGGGGACCGGTTACCCTGGCGATTTAACGGGGGACCTTGACCACTACCTCCCGCTTGGCGGTTTCCCTGTCCGCCAACCCCCTGTGCGTCCGGTCCTCGGCTTCCCATGGCCTGGCCCCTTTGGCCCTGGCCTCCTCCTCTACCTTGCGGCCTCCCTCCAGCCGCGACAACAGCGTAAGACCTCCCCTGCCCTACACAACTGTACTCCTCCCCTAGGCTCCACCTTGACTTGGCCCGAGATGGTACGATCTTTCCACTTCTTCCCCTTCTCCAGGTCCTTATGCCAGAAAGTGGTAACTGGCATAGACTTCGACTCATACAAGACGACTTCTCTACTCAATACATCATAAGTCATGCCGGCCTGCTGAGATTTGTCAAAGAAATGCCTGTGTAGGGCCTCTGGAATGGCACGATAAAACAACTGGACCAACTGGGGCTCAGTGACCCCGTGGTCCGGGACAGCTACCAAGTCGTCCATAGTACCCTTGAGTGCCTTAGCACTCCTCCACTGCCGGGAGTGGATCGTTTGGAGCTTATCAGAGGCTCTAATGCCTCGCATCGGGTCAGCGAACCGCTCCTTGAGGAGCTTGAGGAATTGGGAAAGAGGAGTGACTTTGGAATATGCAACCAGGTTGTTTTCACAACCGGCTGTACGCGCGAGAGACCTGGCGAAGCTAGCCGCTTCGTCCTTCAGGGCCTGGAAGGCCACGAGGACTTGCTCCTCTATCAGGGTATGTTGTAAGTAAATGTAACTATTGACACTGGCCTCCCAGTTGTCAAAGTTCTCGTCCTTCTTTCCCTTGTACGCGTCTGGGAACTTACGGGGTCTGCCCTCTCCTTCTATAGCGGCTGCAGCTTTGGCACTCTGAATGGCGCCCTCACAAAACTTCCCTACATTGTCTCTCAACTGTTTGACTTCGCCCCCAATGTGGGTGACGATTTCGCGTGCAAAATCCCTAAACTCGGACCGCATGGCACTCAACGCTACATCCTGGCTCCAGCTTGCCTGGCGCTCCTCCATCCAGACCTTGCTCAACACCTCTAGATAGCCCAGTACTTTGTCCCACTTGGCCTTATCATCTGACTGGGCCAGCACCTCCGCTCTACACTCCTGCACCTTCGCCACTGCTGCGGTCATCTTATTCACTTCCTCTCTCCTCCTCTTCTTCTCCCTCTTCATTCTCAACTTTCATGCTAACTTTTGCTCGTCTTCCCTCTCTCTTCGTTCCATTGGGTCTGTCATGGCTGCTAGCTCAGCGGCCAGCGTAGCCTTCTCATCCTTAGTCACATAGGACTCCGCCTCCTCATCTTCCCCCAACGATAAATTAGCGACCCACTCGCTGATCTTCTTCTCCAGCTCAGTGTC